TCCCGGCAGTATCTGATTATTTCACCGTGTTTGACTACTATATTCAGGACTGACATTAATGTCATAATTTACAGGACAAATCAAACAACAAATTTAACAATGATATGTTTCTTGAGCATCAGATCATCATATTAGAGTGATTTCTGAAGGATCATGTGACGCTGAAGACTGGAGTAATGATGCTGAAAATTCAGCTTTGATCATAGGAATAAATTACACTTTACTATATATTCACAGATATTTTACATTGAATAATATTTCACTGTATTTTTTATCAATAAACGCAGCCTTGATGAGAAAGAGACTCTTTCAGAAATCTTACAGACCTAAAACCTGTGAATGCGAGTGTATTTTAAAAGAACTGGTTGTGATTTATGACACTGAAACAGAGACACTTGCGGGTTATGATCATTAATCTACAGTGGATTAAAACTGAAGCTGAAAATATCGCATTATCCACGGATGAGGAAGAGGCTTAAACTGAAGCAGAGACTCTGGGATCAACATGGCATGCTGGGATTGATCTCATGATTCTGATCATCTGCAAATAAGATTGACAATAAAACGCATCAGACAGTGACCTTTACAGAATGACGTCAACATTAAGCCAAAGCTTTATAATTCGCTGATTGATGGAGTGTGTGAGCGTTCATGATGGATCTGCGCATGCGCGTCCACTGCTATATTTACACGCGGCTCTCGTGCATCTGTCTCGTATATAAATATATATATCGTATATCGCTATAATACCCGCATAATCACCTTAACACCGACATCAGTGATGCTAATAATGGAGCGTGTTCATGTGTGATCCAAACAAAACCTTTCCATGAAGACATGATTATGAATTCCAGCAGAGCCGCAGAAAGTCAAGACAAAAATAAATAACAATAAATATCACACTGTTATAAGCTTATTGTCTTCGTTGTTTTTGACCCATTTCCTTAATAAATAAGGTTGTGACACAAAAACTTCTCTAACTCTTAAAAGTTTCAAATATTGTTAAAGACAATTACACTGTCAGTAATAAAATAAGATCAAATAATCGAATTACGAGTAACAACACAAATTCGATCGAACACACAAACAAATAAAATAAACATTGCTTTTCATGTTTTTCAGTCTTACAGTAATTCTCAGGAAGAGAAAATTAATAATCAAATGTAACATATCACTACATAGTCTTCACTGTATAAATTAAATTTAGATTAATCCTTATTAAAGTTATTCAGTCAAGATCAGAGTGATTTATTTCTTTGTCCTTTGATTAGCATTAAAACACAGGCAGGAATATGAGGCTTCTGTCACTTTAAGAGCTGCACTGATCCAATATACTGACACACATGTTTTATCATAACCGTTTATGATTTCAAACCGTGTTTTTGAGACTAATAATCTAAAAAGACTAAAATACTCAGCAATGATGTCGACTTATGAATTTACACATGGTTAAGCGTATTAAAAACGCCACATAAACAACATTAAACGCTTGATTTTCACCACAGGGAGAATTTAAAAATGTATTTGGTTCACTTGCATTACTTTAGTCTATTTTCTTCTCAAACTTTCCCAGCAGCAGTTGTGCTTTCTCCTGCCTTGTAAACACGTTTAAATTGATATTTTCTCCTAATCTTCAGCAGAAGTGAATCACATCCTCTCAATATAAATCTAAATGAAGGGCTGACAGGTAACTTGTGTTATAGTTCGGATCAGCACTAACAGAGTGGAAAACAACAGGAAAAAGGCCCATAACATGAACAAGATGAATGATATTGTTCTGTTTATTGTAAGCTGCAGTTTTGTCGTCTGTCGCTTTAAATGCTCGAGCTCTTTAAAGCAGGACGGATTCTGATTGGTTGTCATTGTTTTTATTTTTAAATTCAACCCTGAAAGTGATGCCAGCGATATCGTTACTCTATTGTTATTGTGTGGACTTCGCTATTCTCTTTGAGGAAACCTTTAAGTTTTAATAATCATAGCGAGATGGAAAAGGTAAAACATGCAGAGAACAGAACTGATATTAATAACATTATGTCTGCTCTTGTGTTCCTGGATGATGGCTTTATTCATCTTTGCTAATCCCTCCTGGATAATGAGTGCAGGATTATTGAATGTGCTTCATCATCATCTTCATCTTCGCTGCTGCGGGTTCATGTCAGGATCAGGTCTCATGAGGCTTCAGGGATGTTGAGTCAGAGATGTGAAGCTCGTGAGATGCAGAGACTCCACAGTTCAGAATCTCTTCTAGAGGAATCTGAAGTCCTCGGGTTTCCCTCTTCACTAGAGCTGCTGATAAGAGCCTGAGTGACTGTGACATTACACACACACACACGAACATGTCAGATGTCAGGAGAGAACACACAACTATTTGGGTCTAGGTGTGGCAGGGGTTCGTTGAGTGTGTGTGTCTGTCTGTCTAGTGTGTGAGTGGCAGGAGTTAGTTGAGTGTGTGTGTGTGTGTGTGTGTGGGGTGTGAGTGTGGGCAGGGGTTGGTTGAGTGTGTGTGTGTGGTGTGGGAGTGGCAGGGGGTTAGTTGTGTGTGTCTGTCTGGTGTGTGAGTGGCAGGAGTTAGTTGAGTGTGTGTGTGGTGGGCAGGGGTTGGTTGAGTGTGTGTGGTGTGAGTGTGGGCAGGGGGTTAGTTAAAGTGTGTGTGTGTGTGTGTGGGGGGGGGGGGGTGTGAGTGTGGGCAGGGGGTTGGTTGAGTGTGTGTGTGTGGTGTGGGAGTGGCAGGGGGTTAGTTGAGTGTGTGTGTATGTCAGGGGTAAGTTGTGTGTGTCTGTCTGGTGTGTGAGTGGCAGGAGTTAGTTGAGTGTGTGTGTGAGTGTGGTGGGCAAGGGTTGGTTGAGTGTGTGTGTGAGTGTGGGCAGGGGGTTGGTTGAGTGTGTGTGTGTGTGTGTGTGTGTGGTGGGCAGGGGTTGGTTGAGTGTGTGTGTGTGGTGTGAGTGTGGGCAGGGGTTAGTTGAGTGTGTGTGTGTGTGTGTGGGAGTGGCAGGGGTTAGTTGAGTGTGTGTGTGTGTGTGTGTGGGGTGTGAGTGTGGGCAGGGGGTTGGTTGAGTGTGTGTGTGTGGTGTGGGAGTGGCAGGGGGTTAGTTGTGTGTGTGTGTGTGTGTATGTCAGGGGTAAGTTGTGTGTGTGTGTCTGTCTGGTGTGTGAGTGGCAGGAGTTAGTTGAGTGTGTGTGTGGTGGGCAGGGGTTGGTTAAGTGTGTGTGGTGTGAGTGTGGGCAGGGGGTTAGTTAAAGTGTGTGTGTGTGTGTGGGGGGGGGGTGTGAGTGTGGGCAGGGGGTTGGTTGAGTGTGTGTGTATGTCAGGGGTAAGTTGTGTGTGTCTGTCTGGTGTGTGAGTGGCAGGAGTTAGTTGAGTGTGTGTGTGAGTGTGGTGGGCAGGGGTTGGTTGAGTGTGTGTGTGAGTGTGGGCAGGGGGTTGGTTGAGTGAGTGTGTGTGTGTGTGTGTGTGTGTGGTGGGCAGGGGTTGGTTGAGTGTGTGTGTGGTGTGAGTGTGGGCAGGGGTTAGTTGAGTGTGTGTGTGTGTGTGTGGGAGTGGCAGGGGTTAGTTGAGTGTGTGTGTGTGTGTGTGGGGTGTGAGTGTGGGCAGGGGGTTGGTTGAGTGTGTGTGTGTGTGTGTGGGAGTGGCAGGGGTTAGTTGAGTGTGTGTGTGTGTGTGTGGGGTGTGAGTGTGGGCAGGGGGTTGGTTGAGTGTGTGTGTGTGGTGTGGGAGTGGCAGGGGGTTAGTTGAGTGTGTGTGTGTGTGTATGTCAGGGGTAAGTTGTGTGTGTGTGTCTGTCTGGTGTGTGAGTGGCAGGAGTTAGTTGAGTGTGTGTGTGAGTGTGGTGGGCAGGGGTTGGTTGAGTGTGTGTGTGTGGTGTGAGTGTGGGCAGGGGTTAGTTGAGTGTGTGTGTGTGTGTGTGGGAGTGGCAGGGGTTAGTTGAGTGTGTGTGTGTGTGTGTGGGGTGTGAGTGTGGGCAGGGGGTTGGTTGAGTGTGTGTGGTGTGGGAGTGGCAGGGGTAAGTTGTGTGTGTGTGTCTGTCTGGTGTGTGAGTGGCAGGAGTTAGCGGAGTGTGTGTGTGGCAGGGGTTAGCTGTGTGTGTGTGTGTGTGTCAGGGGTAAGTTGTGTGTGTGTGTCTGTCTGGTGTGTGAGTGGCAGGAGTTAGCGGAGTGTGTGTGTGGCAGGGGTTAGCTGTGTGTGTGTGTGTGTGTCAGGGGTAAGTTGTGTGTGTGTCTGTCTGGTGTGTGAGTGGCAGGAGTTAGCTGAGTGCGTCTGTGTAGCAGGGGTTAGCTGTGTGTGTGTGTGTGTAACTGAGGAGAGTCTGCTGGAGAAAAGAGAACGAGACAGAACTCATAATAAAACAAGAATCACCATCAGCTTGTCTTCAGGAGAGATGGAGAACTGAGGGATTATTACCGAACACAAACTCCTGCATCTCTGACAGAGTTCACGGTAAAATATCTATTATGAAGATCATGTCATTATGGTTGTCATGTTGCCATAATGATTAAATTATATTAAGTCCATGTCATTCTCAAGGAAGTGGAGTGTTTATTAATGTGTAAAACTACAGTAACTTCAGCTTGAGATCTTTCATCTACACTGATTTATGAGCCGCACGATTATCATATTCATCCGCACAGAAGAACACCCACAACAATGTTCTTCTGCAAAATGCCTGCAGTTCCGTGTTTTAACCACTAGAGGGACAGACGTTTCATAGTGTGTCTTTAAATAAAACCAAAAATAAGCAAATTAAATAAGCCATAGTTATTTTTGAGTGCAGAAATCTGACTCACAAATATGCAGTTTGTTAAAATGGAGTAATCCATAATTATGATAATTTTATAATCAATTCAAATGCATACATCTTCATGTTCATGTCATAAATGTAATCTAAACATAATTGAGAGCGCCACAGCTGTGACAGTAAAGCACAGACACCACACGTACGGTAAACAGCGCTCGAGTTTATTTCTCAGTGCAGTTTAAAGCAGAACAAACGCACTGAACACAAACATCAGCACACGTAAAGATGACCAAACCTCACGGCATATTCACACACACACACACACACACTATAAAATGACATCAGCGTGTCGGTGGAAGTCAGAGTCCGCGGATCAACTCCTCCAACTGTTGAAGGTCTGAGCCGACGGTCTGGAAGACATCAGAGATGTGAACATGACACTGATGGTCACGTGACCACCGAGATGATCATCTGTCAATCAACCACATGACGTGCCACTTACTGGTTGGTGTTCGCGTTCCCAAAGCCTCCAAAACCTACGAGCACAAGCCAACACACACACACACACACAGAGTTAGACTTCATCACGTAATGGAGTGTGACCAAGCGTTAACCTTCTCTCTCTCTATAACCAACACTGAAGAGAGTTAACCTGCAGTTCCTCCACTGGCCACTAGAGGCCGGCTGCAGAAGAGACTCAGTCCCATAGACCCGCATGTTAAAATGCCCAACTTTACAGCAGAATAAACATGTTTACAGTCTGGTCTAAAAAGTGGTTTTGGTCTATATCGCTAATGTTGCCCTTCATGACGACTGTGAGGCGGGGGAATTATTTTATAACTCATCCGTTTAAATTATATTAAGCCTTAAAGTTCTGCATAATTAAGGGCGTGGCCACTTGAGTGACAGGTGGATTGCCGCTGATGTCACTACTAGCCGTTTGTCTGCTAGCGTTAGCGTCACGTCACCTCAGCTAATCCGCCTCGCTGCACATGTTCGTTTATCCGGGAGTGACGCGCGGCCAAGATGGCGACCGCAGACTCCGCCCACTTTGGGCTTCAGAAACACTACGGGTGACGTCACACACTACACACATATAGTCTATGAGTGTGACATTAAAGGCCCATCGAACCGGCTCTCCTGTGTCACACTGTGTATCTGTTTACCTGATTACTGAGTCTGTTTACCACTGTAACTGGGAAACATGAGAGCAACACTTGTGATAAACGCTCATGAGAAACGACACACTTCATTCAGCGCCGCAAAGACCAGCAGACATCAAGCTTTCTGAGAACGGAGGACCAGCTTCAAATAGTACACAGATAGCACAGAAAACAAGGTGTTTAGGTAACGAGGTGTTGATTATTTGTTTATTAAAGTCCCCCTGTGGTGAACATCCAGCGTTTAATGTTGTTTATGTGTCTATGTGGTGTTTAATACGCTTAAAGACACACCATGTGTAAGTTCATAAGTCGACAGCATTGCTGAGTATTTCCTCCTTAAAACTGCAGTGAACCAAAGACAGTCTCAAAAACACGGTTTGAAATCGCTGGTGTTTCTGACGTCACAAACGACCTTGTAACCAATCAGATCAACGTGTGATCGCCAACCAGTGGATCTCTGAGCTGAGTGAGTGAGTGGAGGCGGGGCTCATTTGCATATTCATAGAACCGCGCATACTAAATGAGGCGAGGGTGTCGAGTTACATTCAAGATATTTTAAGGCGTAAAAAACCTTTAAATTAGTGCTGTCAAACGATTAAAATATTTAATGGCACATTTTTATCTATTCTAAATGTCTCTTGATTTCTTTTTGTCCCATTATTTTTTCTCATTTTAATGCTCTTACTAACATGGAAAAGTGGATCGGCTTGCTTTGTGCAAATGTTTTTTATTGAAAACAACACTGACATATACTGTGTTCAATTTCACACTAACATTCTCACTTGGAGCAAATAATCTCTCACACAATAACACTGTCCATCAATAAAAGGGTGAAAGAAACACTGACGAGGTCCTGATATTGACGAGGGGGCGGAGCTTCGCATCAGCTGTGTGTGTGTGTGTGTGTGCTTGGCCATCATCAAGTGGTGTTTCAGACTGGAGGTGCTGTGATGATGATAGCTCAGTTCACAACGACAAAACACACAGATCACTTTGGTCTCGGAAAAACTACAAAGTTTGCTAGGCCAAAAAGACCGTTAATCGCGCGATAAAAAAATGAACGCCGTTAATAACGCGTTTAACTGACAGCCCTATAGTTTAAATCAGTGGTTCTCAAAGTGGGGTCCGCGGACCCCTAGTGGTCCGTGAACTATAGCCAGGGGGTCCGCGAAATAATTTATAACAGCCTACCGTTTTTTCCGGACTATAATTCGTGTTTTCTTTATCATCTGAAAACATGCTATTTATTCCAAAGTGACTTATATAATGCATTTAACGTCAAATAATACAAAGTAGACACTTAGGTTTCTAGATAGATAATATATCTGTATTTCGTATGTCTGTGCGTCAAGTAGACTATTCGCTGTGTTTTGGTTGATTTTGGGACACGTGCACCAGCGCGTGCGCGCACAATATGTCAGTTCTAACACTGCTAGATTTGACATTAGAAGCCTGATCATTATCAAAATAAAATACAATCAACCGAACTTATATAAAGTTCGGCTTAATTTAATTTATCTGTTGTACACTATGAAGGCAGTCATCATTCTGTCGACTTGCTGTTATTGCAATTTCATTTCTCCGCATGTGAAGATGCTGATATGTGTAGGCCTATAATGTGACTGAAGCATGCAGCTTTCTTTACAGTTAAGCATCCAAATGTTAGGCTACATCGCCAATGTGGAAAATTTGGACCGAATGAGAGATGCACGAGCCGTCTATGCAGTTTCAGTTTTGATTAAAATTAATTCGTTTAGACTTGATGTTTAAAATAAATGTTGTCTTTACTATTATTATTATTATTTGTATTATTATCTTATAGGGTAGCCTACTTATTTTTCATTCTCGTTTTGTTCTAGCTACCATTAATTTAAGGATTTGCTGTGGAGTGAGGGGAAGGCTAACGCCTCAACAACGCAACAAAGTAGGCCTATTACACATTCAGATGCAACTTATTTAATGGAAAATTAAAAATTTGTGCTGTAATATAAAAAATTGCATAGGGACAGAGCCGTACCCACAATTGAGGTCCCCGATGTCCGGACCTCTGTCATTTTTCTATGTGTGTTATATAATGAAAGTTGTGAAATAATTGCATAATATTAACTTAATTTGGTGCTGCAAGGATATTGTACATCGCGATGATAACTGACCTTCTCGTCTGAGCTGCTTCAGCAGACTAACAACAGCAGTCAATGTCAAAATGTTTGAGTCGGAGATGAATTCAAAGTAGGCGGGGCTTATAAGCCGCAAGCCGAGCACGAATTCCAGCACGACGCTTCAGTTAATGGTCATAAAGTGCGAGATAAGATGTAGGCCTAAATAGCTAAAATAAACAGCTGTTTTAGATAGAAGTTTTAAACGAACGACTGAAACAATCAGTTTGCAAAGTATCCATCAAAGTTCAGCAAAGTTTCCCCAGCTGGGAAAGGAAATAGGCAGCTATACAGGTCAAGAGAAGCATATATGCCCAGGATGAGACTAACATTATGGATTCCTATTTAACACAGATATACTGTAAGTTTTTTTTAGCTAATTACAGTGGGTATAAGCTCGATTTAACAGCACACGCACCTATTAAACATATTGCCATTATTATTGTATAAATATGGGCTAAGGCTAAGCTATATTTTTTGTGCAGAATAATCCTTGAAACATTTTTAAATGCACCTTTAAATGCACCTTAAAATGCACATGTGTAGATCAAGAACATCAAAAATCCCTCGGGGGGGGGGGGGGGGGGGGGGGGGGGGGGGGCATGCCCCCCAACCCCCCTAGCAAGATCACTTTTGGGACCTCGGTAGGCTATTTAGAAATTCCTGCATAGGACCCTGGGTGGAGAGGAGACCATTTGTGCAAAAATATTTTTTTAGCCGCTCCCACATTAACTTTGTGCTCAATCACTGTTATAAATATGAGGGGGTCCTTGGAAATGTTTTTCCCCTGTAAGGGGTCCCTGGCTCCAAAATGTTTGAGAACCCCTGGTTTAAATATGCCATTTTGTGATCAAAGATGAGTTTTAAGGGATAAAATGAGTGACTACGGGGGACTTTAAATTAGATGAATACTAATATCATAAAATTTGACTGAAAATTCATTCAGGTTGATTTGAACCAAACTAAGCAGTTTTTGTGGAAAAAACAACACTATTTCCACAAGAAGAGAAACACAAATCCAGTGTGTTCTGAATGGAAGCTGTTAGAAACGAACCCGAGCGGCTCATGTCTGCACGTTCACACCGAACCCGTGTTCAAGCGCTCTAAATCAGGCTCTGCTGGAACTATAAAGGGAAGGACAATAAAAGCAGCCGTGTGTTGGAAAGCGGAGCGCCTGTAAACTCCTGAATGATGGAAGTCAAGTCTTTATTTATACAGCTTTACAGAGATAACAGGAGAATAATGCAGCAGTGTTTCCAGAAGAGAATAACGTCTCAGTCCAGCTTAAGTCAGTTCAGTGATGCTTCATTTCTGTTGTAAAAAAGTTATTAATTTAGTTCTTTATATATATAGCGGCTCTGGAGTAAACCGTGATGTCATCGTCCAGCTCAGTTCAGTTCTCATATAATGCTGTCAATGCAGGAGAGCAATAATATTGCTGAATATTAAGTGTCCCCAACTGTGTGTGTCGGGATCTCACCTCCAGACGAGCCGAAGCCGGGGAACGTTCCGGTCTGAGTGCCGAATCCCGCCGGGCTCCCGAACGACGGAGTCGCTGCGCTGGGATTGGCTAGACTGCCGAACGACGGCGCATTAGGAGGAGACGCGAACCTGGAATGAGGAAAACAGGCATTGTGTCAGAGGCGGAACATGATGAACAGATGGCAGTGTTTATTTGGGCGAGTTATGCGGCACAGGTGCCTACACACACACACACACACACCAGGATTAGATCACAACACAGAAATACACAGCACCTCTGACCCCATCTGTCACTCAACCTCATATTAAAGACAAATTCTGCTTTTCTATGTGTTCATCCTTCTTTAATGTTGATGTTTGATCATGAAGAAGCTCCAGTTCTCCTCTATCTCAGTGTCAGTGTTCCTGAACTCCTGAAACGCCTCTATTGTAGTCTTGAGTTTCTAACAGGGACGAACACGTCACA